ACACACCTACGCAATGATTACATTCAGGCAGACTGTAGAATACAACCTCTTTGGACAATTTGTATACTTATTGAAAACAAGCTACAAAATGTAATACCTTGGAAAATGCCCTTTAATACTTTTTAATAGCCTTGATTTTCGCTAAATTGATTTATCAACTTTTAATACTTTTTAAGACCCTGGTTTGATGCCAAATGTCAATAAAAAATATATTACAAAAAAAGAAAAAAACGTTATGTGGGGTTTTTTCTCTAATGAAGGGGCCAACCTTGACATTTATAAACCGTTCTTTTTAATATCTCATTCTGTATTTGAACCAGGTGCTCTGCAGATTTTCAATTTAAAGATTTTTTTCTTCACATGGAAGGAAGAAAATCGAACTAACGCACACTTGGAAGGAACACCAAGTTCACCATGGTGTTAAAACAAGTGTCTTCAAAAGGTATTGGCAGCTTTGTCAAATGTTATTATTTTGGAAATACTTTATATATATATTTTTTTTTTTTTATTTATTCCGGTCTTTTCGGCACAAAGTAGTCCATTGTTTTCGGGCATCCCTGTTTCCTAAAGCCGGGTCAATCTTAGCGTCCACTGGATTATACTCAGTCACTCTGACAGACAGGCATAGTGGCGGGAGGCTGAACTTTATATATTTTTAACTAAAACAATGTACCTTTTCAGGGGCGTCCTCCGTGGTGTCGAGGGACTCCAGCAGTTTGACTATTCCCATCCCTTTTAGCACCTGTCCGAAGACGACATGCTTCCCATCTAAGTGAGGAGTGGCCACGGTGGTGATGAAGAACTGAGAGCCGTTGGTGTCCGGCCCGGAGTTGGCCATGCTGAGCAGACCCGGTTTGTCATGCTGCAAAGACAAAGGGAAATCATTACAAAAGCAAAAGTCAGGCACAACTAACTCTCAAACACAGAAATAAATAAAAAGATGGGAGTGTTTGATTATTTCTGTTAGTTTAAATACTCTTTTGTACAATAGATAAGGAATACAAAGAGAGATATGCAAAAAAGATCCCTGAATACTCCAACCTAGAGACATATGTCCATTGTTCAATATCCAACATACTAAATAAAGTTCAAATGAGAGTGATGGGGAATAGTACACACCCCTCTGAGTATTACAGTGGTGAACCCAGATAATGGGGATTCTGGTGATAAGTCACTTACAATGTAGTGGAAGTTTTCATCCTCAAACTTCTCTCCGTAGATGCTCTCTCCCCCGGTGCCATTCTGGTTGGAGAAGTCACCTCCTTGGATCATGAACTTCTTGATGACTGCCAAAAGCAAATTTATAGCCAGATTAATTTTCAGTAGAACTTATAGCTCCCTAAAATTTCAAGTACCATGTTAGTTACTACCCATTCTAAATACTATACTGTCCCATAATATGTATGAATAAGTGCCTATTTTACAATATGCAGCAGCTTCCTGTCGGTTCAACTTTCCATTATTGTGACTTCCTTATAAGTTTTACTTGTTCTCGATATAATAAGAAAGGAAATACAGATTCTCCAAATAACTCTCAATAAGCGCTTTCACACTGGAGTACTTGTCCCAGTATAGTTCCGATAGTTCTTGAAATTTTGCATTCACACCAAAAAAATCCTTTTCAGACCCTTTTTAGTCCCTGCTGGAGAGCAGGTACTTTCATGGGAGAAAAAGGTTCCCATTTCTGATTGGCTGGGCGAATTGCAAACAACGCCCCGTAAAACTCGGAAAAGTTTTGTGAAGCCGCCATTGTATTTCCTGGCATTAGCATTATTAGCATTAGCTTTAGCCCCGCGCACCAACGGAGAGAGACTAACTTATGGCAACACAAAAGAAAACATGGGAGCGGTGGAGATGAGGAGGTGTCGGCGTTCTGGCGATTTACTCGGAAGGCTTCAGTAGAAGCTGCGGGGACTCACAGCAGCTTCTATTGAAGCCAGTCCCCAACTCCGGGGACTTCGGGTGGCAGTATACGCCGTGAAGTTGTTTACGGCCTGCCAGTCAACCCAAAGCAGAAGAAGAAGAAGAAGAAGAAGAAGTGACGTCGGCGGCTTAATTTGCCTAATCCACCCCCAGGGACTTATTCCGGTGTGAACGCGATCTGCTCTTTAGTTCATCAGAAATAAAGAGTTCTGGTGAACGAAGTTCTGGGAACTGAGTAGGGCAAAGTACTTGGTGTGAAAGCGCCTAATGCATTGGACGTCCTTTAAAGCTACTTTCACATGTCTGAGTGTAACTAAAGTTCCAAAGTGCCCTGTCCTCCAATCTGAAATGTCACATGATGTGCAGCTGGGAAGGCTATTTATTTTACTTCTGTGGAAGGGGCATCCTTTGAAGTGCAGAGGCTTCCCGGTTGATTTGCCAATGCCTTTCTCTCCAGTGCAGAGCGCCCGGAAGTTTTCAGCAGTTTTGGGGACGATATCAGCAAAAAGCTCAAGAACAAGTCGGCCAGCTGTGGACGGAAAGAAATACATCAGTGCGGTGTTACAATAAAATACAGATTGTAATTGACTAAACAACTTACAGTATAGTCTGCACTAAGTTACCAAATACCTTAAAACTATAACATTTCTTTACTTCACTAACTTGACTTTAAGATAGACTACCTTTACCAGAATATGTTGGTTTTTAGGAAGCATTCAAAAAAGGCTTCTTCTTGCTGAAGTAACATGTATTTTCTTTGTGGTGTTTGATGTGTAAGCTGCAATAATAATAACAATACATACAACACTATGCAAGTATTAAACTACCTACATGCAGAGTAGTACAAAAGTATAACTAACAGTGTAGGAATAAAGTCCTCCATTCAAAATGTTACTCAAGTACTTAACTTACTAAAAGTATTAGCATCCAAATATACTTAAGGACCTAAAAGTACTCATTATGCAGAGGCCCATTTCAGATTCATATGTATTATATGTTTTCATTATAACCACAGGGGGTTAGAGCCTTTGTGATAGTGTTGCAGTGATCATTGTGCTGGTGCTGCTGGTTATGTGTTTTAATTGTTATAAACACAAATTATGTAACTGAAGTACCAATCGTGTTTTTTTATGGCGATGTATTGTGCTCTAATTGTTATACTGAACTAAAAGTATTTTTTTGCCACATGAAATGAGCCCCTCACATAGAGCTAGAACCGCTACTGCTCTTGCTAAAGTAAAAGGTATCTTCAATGGTGTTTTTAATGTGTTGGCTGCAACCACTTTGATAATACACTTGAGCTAGAATGAAGCTACCTACATGCATGATAAAACAGAACATACTGATATGACTATAGCGCTATCTTACAGTGGTATAACAGGAAAGCTAGTGCTGAGAAAAGCTACATTTACCAGTCATTCTAGACAACACAACCACACGTGGTTCATACACTATCTCGCTTTCTAAATACCAGTCATTTTATTCAAAGTTCATGCTAGCTCATATTAAATATTACCGAGCTACTTATGTCGATTTTTAGAAAGTGGTTCATCTGTAAACTGTTACGTTTATTGTTCTTGCAGCTACTAGCATACATCCGTTTCTACTAGTCACCACAGCTAGTTGTGCTAAGCTAACAAATGCTAATGACAATTGTGAAACTACTCCTTAGAAAAAAGCTGTTAAATAATATTAAAATGAAAATGGGCTGACCTCTTTCTCCGCCAATGTCTACATCAAAGAAGACACGAGGGTTTTCGGAGTTTGCAGGCTTTTCAGATGGTACTGGGTGAGACATTTTAAAGACAGGGCGATTTCTGACACTTGTTTCGGCTAACTTGGCTAATTCCGGCCGGCGTACTGAAGCAGCGGAGTTCCGAGTTCAATGACTTCCGGTGAGCGCATTTCAAATTAAAGGTATTCTGTTAAAAGTGCATTGCAGGATTTTCAAGTAAGAAACGAAATACATTACTGCGTTTGTTTGGGTTACAAATTCAGATATGCAAGAACACAAATAGTAGAAAAAATGTTCCAAATATGCCATTTTGATGTAAAAATGGCATAAATGGAAAAACAATTCTACAATTTGTGTTGAAAACCACATGCGTGCGAGCACGGAATGAAACTTCCGGTAATGCAAAAATACAATTAATATATTAAGTTTCACTTTCATTCACTTTTTACGGTGGACTTGTACTTTTACTAGTAGTGCTAATAGTTGAAATGTTAAATTCATCATTAAACATTTCCTCAATTGCAGTAAGACTATGTCAATCCCAGATCAAATGCACGCTAAAGGGTCATTGAAAATGTTTTCTCTTGGTGATTGTGATGTGTGTCTTGACATTTGTCTATGTTGATGTTGCACATGGAGCTGCTGTGATGCAAGTCAAATGTCAGACTTGATCTTACCAATAAAGTATGTTCGTATCTTGTCGTAATATTTACTACATCATCAATATATTGCAATGAACAAATTCACAATTAAAGAAATGGGCTATTCACACTATAAAGCAGGTACTACAAAGTTAATTGTGTCTAATCCAGTGACTTCAATACATGAAAAAAATAGATGATGCACACAACGCACACCTCGATCTTCTCTTAATTAACCTGATGACATTTGCTCCTACTTGTAAACACTGGATGAATGACTGGAGTCAAACACTCTTTTTTTTAACCTAATGCATAGACTTATTAAACATGCAACAAGAGGCAATAAGTGAATATTACTTTGTTTATTGTCCACAAGACATCATTTTTCGAACAAACCATATAATTAGACAAATAGTGAAAAACAGATTTAGGTGTCCTGGATTAAAGAGCAACTTCCAGGTTAAAGACACCTGTGAATACATGTGTAGGGAAATGATGAATACACTAGATTTTCAAAAAAATATACAGAAATATACACTACAGTGACATCTGGCATCGTTTTTGTAAGAAATGTTCACTTCCGCATAAAAAAGCCTCGGCACGTGACCTCCCGCGTGTGACGTAACACGGGGGAAACAAGGGGGAGAGCGGCCGGTGTAACGTATTAATAAACATGGATCCCAATGCTAGTTGATACTGATCCATAACAGAAACTAATATGCAAGTATCAGCCGTATCTCGCGTTACCTAATGCAACTCCAAACTACGGTGCTGTGTACCGGAGGGGAGACGCGAGATACGGCTGATACTTGACGATCTGGCGGAGAAAGGTTGGTCTCTTGGACGCCTAGCAGGCTCATAATTATAAGGTTGTGGTCCGTCATATGCATTCGAATATTCATGTTCAACTTCTTCTGTGTCGAAACTAGCATTGGGATCCATGTTTATTAATACGTTACACCGGCCGCTCTCCCCCTTGTGTCCCCCGTGTTACGTCACACGCCGAGGCTTTTTTATGCGGAAGTGAACATTTCTTACAAAAACGACGCCAGATGTCACTGTAGTGTATATTTCTGTATATTTTTTTGAAAATCTAGTGTATTCATCATTTTCCTACACATTTATTCACAGGTGTCTTTAACCTGGGAGTTGCTCTTTAAGCATAAATGTAGAAAAAAAAAAACCTGCAAGATGCTCTTTTCTCTTTTTCTTTTCTTTCTGCAGCCCCTATGGATCCACTTCTTGTTTATGATGATTTCGACTCAGCCTTCTGGGATACACCTCTTCTTGTTAATGCATACAATGTTCCGTCTCAACAAAATGCAATCACAACTTGCCTTCAGGCAGACTTCAGACTGAGCCCAGCCTATTGAAGATGGGATTGTCTGCAAATTGCAGCCTACCTCGAGATATGGATATCTGTCTCTGGCTCTTTATTTGAAAATTGGTGATTTTCTGATGTGGCTTAGAATTTGCTCGGTTATCTACACCAGACATAAGTGGATATGATTATTTTAGCTGTGGGGATGGATTACCTGGTTCTTCTCATACAGACAATAACAAGTATATCTGTGATGCTCTGAGAGGTGCCTCTGATAAACAATACTGTTATTGTTGGAGAGAATCATCTGTTTTAGGAAGCAGTGCCACACCTGATATGTGATACTACTTCGAGCACAATGGCAAAACATAGTCAAACATTCGACCCTTGTTTTTGCCAGTTTACATTGTCAGATGTACCGGAACTACAATAAGTTTAACTGCACTCAACGTGAACTCACACAAGTATTAGAGTCGTGCAAGAAAGGTTTGAGTCAGTATTGGATTTAATATTGGTCTGCAAAATGAAACTTGTGAAAAGTCCTGATGTTACTGAGATTAAAAGTATTTTTAATCAAACTTGACGCATCTTATTAAGAGCCAGGTCCTCCTGGGTCGTAGAAGCCAGCTGCGGTTAGGTCTGAATCTCTTAATGAAACTGTGTGTTGACTCGCAGTGAGTAATCCATCATGTTTTTCCTGGGAGGAAACAAATAGACACGGTAATATAAATGAATGAGGCGAGATCCATTAATGACCAACATGGTGTCTTTGGCTGAAGGGGTAAATGGATGCCTAACAACCAGAGGGTTGCTGGTTCACCTCCCAGCATGGCAGAGCGAAGTGTGGTGTGAGGTAAGATGCCATGTGTGTGACATGTTGATCGCGTGACTTGGGAGGGTGGTCAACATGAGTACAGAATACCGTGCAACTCCTGAATCTTTGAGGTGGCTGTGGCTCAGTGGTTAGTGTGCAGGACTTCAAATCAGGGGGTAGCAAGTTCGAGTCCCACTGCAGTCAGCATGTCGTTGTGTCCATGGGCAAGACACTTCACGCCAACTTGCTCCTGTGGAGATTGTCCACAGTACTGAATGTATGTAAATCGCTTTGGATAAAAGTGTCTAACAAGTGACATGCAATTTAATGTAATGTGTACCTACAGGGCGTGTTATTTCTTCAATCTGTTTAATGTTCTATCAGATATTAAAGAAGAAGGAAGTCCCTTTTCATAGAGTAATTTAGTTGTTCGAAATACACCCAAGAGTTATGAACAACCTATTGATTTGCAAGAGATACTGTGAGCTATGTTTTGAATCACTTGTTAAGGTGATACATTCCTTTTAGTCTTAAATGTCCCGTACATCCAGTTCTCAATCCTCATGCGGGCTAACTGTAAAAAGCTTTATCCTGAGTGACTGATAAAGGAAACTTTTCCAGTCTAAATATTTACTTTTAGAGAAGACATTTAGAAATTGCAAAAGTAAATGGGATAGTGGTGGTCTCATGGATAGTGAGGTGGGGTGAAGATCGGAAGGGTGTGAGTTCAAATCCTGCCAGGAACACCACCACTAGTGTGCCCTTGAGTAAGGCACTTAGCCCTTAGTTACTCCAGGGAGAATGTCCCTGTAATTGGTAATTGTAAGTTGCTTTGGATAAATGTGTCAGCTAAATGAAATGTAACATTACATTTTCAATGTAATCACTTAAACCATATTTTGATAGCAGGCTGAGCTTGTTTTATGTCTATTCTACTCTTTAGTGTCCTTCTGTGTCTCTTTAGTGTTTTTCAGTACTAGCTTAGAACACTTTATGTCTTTTTGGATTGTTTTTTGTCTCTTTGAGGTCATTCTGTGTCTCTTTACGGTCATTTTGTTTGTATCTCCTGACATTTTATTTTTTGTAAACCATACGTTTGTTATTTATTCTTGACTGTAACGAGCTCAATGTAAAGGTTTTATTCAGAGAATAATAAGAAGTCTGAAATGTTTTGTTTGATAAATTATAATGCACTATGATGCCAATTTAGGTGAGGCGGCATAACAACAAGAGAGTCTCCCTAGTCGAGGAAAGACATTCATCTTGCCGTCTCAATAGTTTGTCGGTTGAAAGAGGATCGACATCCTCCATTTCTATAGAGGAACTGGCTGGGTGTGAGCGCCTTGGTATCACTTTCAGTCTCTCCTATCACTAGCAGCAGAAGTATTGCTTGCCAGAATGCCAGCCCCGGGGAAATCATTTATCAGACCATCTCTTTAAGTTTTCGCCTCGAGTAGCTGTGTGTCGCTCTGCATACTTTCGGGGGAATATTGCTAGGATGAAGCAGCCTTTGTGACACATGCTGTTGATAAAACATCCTCACACAACCATCTCCAAAACTTTGAAGCAGGCGGCTCCTTTTGCACCAGAGTTGCTATGGGATAAGTAGCTGTATAAGCTGGGGCTGGTTGCCTTCATCACTTTCTTCTCTTATCATCAGTGGGATCTCTTTTCATTTTAACAAGTTGCTGTGCCTGCATATCAGGTGGGATATTAAAAGTATATCTTTATTTTTGTTTTTCTCTTATCCATCAGACCATATCTGAGCCTTGTTATTATTTCCAAACACATGATACCTTTGCAGTAACTCCATATATTACTTGTCTCAAAATCTAAGAGATAGTATTTGGTATTTAATTTTTTTTAATTGGTCTTTCTTATCTAGAGAGTACAAACATGTTTTACCCATTGAAGTATAATGCCTGTTAAACGCAGCCTATGTTTACTTTAATTACTTTTTTAAGTTTCTTTAAGGTAATACAATGTGAGTAATGTATATTCAAATGGTCATTTTGGATGTGAAGTATCCCTTTATGCGGACACTAAAATAAGAATCCATAACCCGGAAGTGTGTTGAGGTCCAATCACTCTCTTGTGCCCATTACAGATAGACAAACAAAATGACTGAATAATGAAACATTGATACGCATACACAGGAGGAAAAATTAATTTAATGACTGAGTAAGTTCTTAGTTTCTCAAAGGACTTCCAGACCTGCTTCAATGCACCTTTGGATAGATTATTCAAGTCTCTGGGATTCGATGGGACAATGGCAACAAAGCCTGCAGCTAAAGCAACATTAAGGACGCTAGTCACATCCAAATTAATATGTATGGAAGTTTGTTAGAGGAGATGCATTCAACATTTACAGGCAATATCCACATATTGCAGTTTGTTACTTGTGCAATGACAATACAGTTGAATTGGATATTAGTGTTGTTTGAAAATGAGCGTAAGGTCCCTTTCAAAACAGAATGAATTATCCTGTTTTAATTGTGCTATGTTTGGGTTATTTAAGAAAATAATTGTTTTTTTCGAATAGTTTTGAGTTGTTATGTTTGTGTTTTGTTAGGTAGTTTTTGTGTTTGTGGTGTCCATGTCTCTCTGGCTGATTTCTTATGGTTTGCCTGAGGTGGTGTGTGTTCCTGCAAAAGTGGAAGCGTTGCATTATGGATGTGGAAGCAGATAACCCACAATGCAGTCACTCAACGCAGTGCAAACCTGAGATGTTCGCACTTATCCATTCGACACAGCACACACACATGTAATACGATTCTGAGAAAGTCAACGTGTGCAATGTTACGAATACTGTCTTACTGACTGCTCTGGAACCGGTGAGACAATCTGTCCTCCAACGCTGTCCGTAACTCAGTTTTCTGTCAGAAAGGAGGACAGTTTAGTTTGATTTATTTCTGTTTTCTTTATCATAACTCTTTAAGTTCTGACAACCAAAGTGGAGAGGCAAATTCCCGGTTGAGAAAAGATAGAGTGATGAACAAAAATCATTAAATGTCATCCAGAAATGATGTATTGTTCTACTGTTGTTTATCCAGGCATTAATTACAGTCCTGCATACAGCATCATATTTAACCATTCTCAAAGTCATGCTAACCTTGTGGCACACTAACTGCAGTATAATGCTTCTTCGTGCCATTTGCATAAGACACATATGGTGGATTTAGCCGTACCTTAATTTGCATGTTGCTGAGCAGCGTCCCACTGTTCAGCAGCTGGTTGTACTGCAGGCCCCAGCCCACCTCCCCCACATAGCCCTGCCTGGGCATGGGAGGGGGGGCATGTGTGGCACCTCGGCACAGGTACCTGAGGTCACCTGTGGCCTCTGCTGAGGAGGCGCCCACACCAATGTACCGGGGGAAATAATTCGATCTCGGCCGGTAGTCTCCAATTCCATCTGGGCCTGGTTAGAAACAGTGGACATGTGAGGAAAGAAGGTAAACAAATATCCAAATGAACCTGACCCTTTACTCGCAGTTACGGTTCTACAGTCACATAGGTGTAAGAAAGAAAGAAAGAAAGAAAGGAAGAAAGAAAAGTGCATCAATGTATTTTCTTTAAAACATGCACTCTCTCTGGTTTACTTTTCAATTAGTGTAAGCAGACGTCTGCAAATGAACACTGACATCTACATAACTGTGTGCAGTATCCCACCAAGTTTTCATATCCTGAAATCTTCTTTTTGTTCCCTTTTTGTGTTTCTTTGTTCATTTCAATTTCTTATTCTCAGATTTGCTTTGCCATGAACATTGAGAGCTGCTATAAATATATGAAAAGATATGAGAACAAAAGTAAAATATGATTTCTTGGACATTGACCATACATTTTGGACCTTGAATTGTTTGAAAATAAGGTCTTCAAACATACTGTAAACTGGGTATGGTAGTCTAACAATATTCCCTCTAATATACTATTGTGCTCATAACATCAATGACAGCTTTTTGTGTATACATACCATATACTTCCTCTAATGCACTGTAAAATACTGACCTAATAAAGCTCCATGTTTCTCCTACCTGTAAAGATCATCCTCTGTCCAGGCTGTGGCCCTCCTGCAGCTGCCTCACTGTTTTGCATCATTGTTTAGTTTAGTTACAGTCTGTACATACATCTATATAATGGGCCCTCTGGGGATAACTCGAGCCCAGCGGTCTGCTCTGTCCATGGGGTCATGGTCGGTTGTCATGCAACCAGTGGTTGTCATGGTGTCACTGGTTGTGTCCTAGTTACATCATAAAAACGGTATGCTTCTGCTATTGAAGCATGCCTATTTGAAAAAAGAAAACACTTCCATACGCTTATTTGAAGCTAATGCACTTGCAGGATTCTTCCAGTTCAGTGGTTTTGGATCAAGTTTAATGAAATATATGTCACTTGTAATGTACATTTACTCCCTATTACTTAATGAAATAGATTGAGATAAAGGAAGAAATACCGCATATCTTATCAGAGAGCTGGTGTAAAAATGGTTTCCTTTCTCTCTTTTAATTTTAGTATAGCGAACAATCCCATTATATTAACTGCATTCTAAATAGCCTTGGTCTGTGGCTATTCATATTCTCAGACTGTGGGATTTCCCTCAGACAAAGCTTGGGAAAAGGCACTCCCCCATCCCCCCTTTAGTTTTCTTGCTTAGTTTTGCTTAATGCGTGGATGCTTATGGGATCATCATTATGTTAACTTCATCCCAGACACGCAACCATTGAGCTAAGAATGCCTTTTGCGGTTTGACATAACTCCAGACTAAAACAAATGCATTACAAAATGTCTGTCCTACGGCATTTATTTGTTTCTGGGGAAAGTGGGAAAAGCTGTATTTTGGTAATGGCTAATCCCCAATAAATGTGTTTTGTTGACTGTGTCTTTGTATATTTTTAAACAAATCACACAGAGTTAGGGCTTTTTTATGAGATCTTCATTTGATAACTTGTTATACTTCTATTAAGTGAAACTGTAAAGAAACTCTGTGGAGCTCCTTGGGAAGGCCACTCCCAACAATAAACATTTTTGTTATATCATTGTGTGTTTTCATACCTGGACCTAAACACGTGTAAGTCAAAGGTATTATAGTGTATTAATTATGTACGTATCTATCTAATCATCTGTTTTCTTATTTCTTAGCCTCTGGATTAATACAAGTATGTATTCTTCTTGTGCTCTTCCTGAGCTGCTTTACATTTTCCATCTGGGATAAAAAAAATACAATCTTACATTTTAAATGTGTCATTATCTTATGATGTCGTGGAGTTATTTAAAAAACAATTGATGTGGATACAAATAGAGATAAAAAAGCTGCCAGAATTGTTTATCCGTACAATTCAAGTGTGTTTGTCTGTGGCACACAATAATGAGTTTACATTCACTTAACTCTGCAAGGACATTTATAAGATATTCGGTTATCTTATCTTGATAAAATGCATAAGTAGGCCTATTACTAAGCCATATTTATCGCATGCATAGTTGTAGTCATATCAATGTGTATTACCTCATTGGGTCACTAGGTGGTTGCAGAGCATCACTTATCCACACTCCACTCCCCCTTCCCATTCCTACTTTTGTTCCATTTTTTTTTTTTGTGAAATGGACTCGCCCATGAGCCGCCCCTTGTGTCTACACCGCCGTCAAGTCAAACAGAGAAAGCAACAGCTGAACAGGAAATGGAATGATTATGCCTTACAAATAAGATATTAGTTAATTGAGAACACCGAGCAATATAATAAGCAAATATAATGAAAGTATTGCCTTGGAGTCACTAAATCAAGAGCATTGAGCAAATTAAATATTGGAATGTACTAAAACAGATCATAATGTCACTGCTCGGTGCACAGAAGGGACAGCTCGTAGTCTACTGCATTTCATGCCGTATCGACGTCTACTGTAAAATGAGCATCTGTCCTTGATTTTGATTTGAGTTTTTTGAGGTAATCTGATTATTCTATCTGCTATTTAATGCAATAAAAAAGCAATGGTTATGCATTCATTATGACATTTTGCATTATTCAAGGGTTTAAAGATTCAAACATGTAACGATTGTTAACGTCATGCAGAGCTGTAGTGTAGTGGTGCAATGAAAAACCTGGATCACAGGTTCCTCAAACAATGAAATATACATATACAAGACATACAGAAAATACAAATACATTAAAAAAACAATACAAAAACTGCAAGCTCGGGGAATTTATTGATGCATGCAGAGGACATTATATTGCAGAGAAAATTCAATGTTGAGGAGCTAAAACAATAACCTGAATATTAATTTACCTCAGACCCCTCCCTAAATACAGCGTCCTTTTCATTGTCTCTTTGTATGACCGTCAAACACGTTGGAGTTTTATTTTGAACATCTTTACAGGAAGTTTAACCGTAAACTGTGTCCGGCTTTACCCCGCTGTGTCAGTCACCATGGTGGCATACAACAGAGCACAGCGGCGGCGGACCTATCTCCACTTTTAGCTCCATTAAAAATGCTAAAATAATGGGATTTCTCAGTGAGTGCTCTCGGGTCTACCTCTCAAAATGGACTTAGGTGTATTACTGACAGGTTAGCAGTTTCGGTCAGCATACTTTTTTGTGTTTGCTGGTGCGTAATTTCTTTCCGTCGCTAGCAAAATGCTGAAGAGACAAGGAATGGCTTTCATGAACGCTGGCTTGGATAAAGGGACATTTTCTGCACTAAGAAAATAACTCCAAAGAGACAGTTTGAGCTGCGGCTTTGTAAGAAGTTTCCTCCCGGTGGGACGGGTGTTGGCAGCCGGTTTCGGGCACAGAGAGACAGACACCCCGAGGAGACTGTCGGCTGTCTGGCTCCAGTCGTGGCCTGGCACTCCCAGCTTATCCGCTAGCATTGGGATCACAAGCGACAAGAATACAGCCAAGACAGCAAGGGGGGGGGGCACTTCTTTTGTTTATATCCGTGGCTCTGGATATTCATAAACACTTATACAGGATAAGGAATTCAATATCCTGCAGACGGTGTCTTCCAAAACAATGGCGTCCTATGTGGATAACAGCTTTCGGCAGGCTGTGATGATGAATCCGGCTGAAAGGACGCAACAGGTCAGAAGACATTATGTATTATACTAATGGAATGTGGTGTAAAAGTGCTCGTATGCGGTGTGCTGCTACTTTACGGCATTGCAACATTGTGTACATCCTGCAACAGTGTGTTTCTGTGTGCAACTGTTGCCATTCAGCTTGTTCAAGTGTTACGTATGGCTACATCCCGCTAAACCCTCTATCAGCAGAGATAATCAAGACTACTTAACATAACAGGAGCTGGAGTCTTGGTGGGAATCTAAGATAATCTTGCAGCAGTGTGTTTGTGCATCCTGCTTTTAGCATTTTAGACTTGTGCATGTAGTAAAAAGCAGTCCAAACTTGCTGGTGCAAAAAAAATTATTCAGAAAAATTGTGAATAAGTAGCTTTTATGAGAGACACAGGCTAATCCAAACCTAGCTAATAGCCTTTACTAGCATACCAAAAACAGACCCTACCCTTCCTTATTTGTATCAAAAGGTTTTGCAAACATTTGAAAGTCGTCGGGGTTAAGACCATCTTTGGGGTAGTTTGAGTATAGTTTTGGCATTTACTGAACCACATAATTGGTCTACTTAAGTTATGTAAAAATAATTAAATAGTGTTTTCTTATTTCTTGTTTTTCAGGAAAACATTCTGAAATCCTTTCTGTCCCACAGTGTTACAGCAAAGGGGACAGTGTAGGTACAAAGGGCAAAATGAAATTAGTTGACAACCATTTAAAGCTGAGCACTGCCAATGCATAATGTCCCGTCCCCATTATACATCAGGTTTCTGTGTAGAGTTGTTTATCTTCTGAACATTTAAATCCTGTGGTTTCGCAGACACGCTCCTCGTTTTGCATGACCTCCAATAAACAGCTACAGATACATGCACTAAATCCCGGTTAGTTGTGGAGATGGCATCATTTTATTTGAGCCCTGCTTTCACTGCATCTTCAGCATGGCTTTACACACAATGGACAGTCAATCGGCCACCACTTAAACCACTGTGGGCTACAGTTAGTGGCACAGCCGCCTGCCTGTCTATTTGACATTGAGGAAAACGATTATGGTGTCATCGTCGGCTTGTTAACAGTACAAGCCCATGGTCTTTACAGCTTTGTGCAGGCTATAATTTGTACCGGTGGCAGATTCCATAATGTTTATGGAAACAGAGACACGGATGAAGAATTTGGTTGGCATCAGTAACAGCAATGCTCATCTAAAAGCATTATAGTCTGTATAAGGTCTGAACGTTTGTTATAATTTCTGATGAATCTGAAGTTTAAATTCTCACATGTGTCCATCAAATACAAAATTAAACAAAAATGCCCCTCAAAGCTTCTTTCGGCCAAAAGGAATGTCATAAAAGTCAAATCTTCAACACAATCAATCAACCATTATATGATTGAGCAAATCCTCACATTTACTTATTTTTTGGAGTTGTCGCCCGGGAGAAATTTGACTGAATGTACAAGAAATTGCTTGTATTGTATTCAGTTGTGGAGGTTACATATGTGATTAGTTTCCCACCAAATTGGTGATTTTCTCAGTTGGAAATAGTTGCAGGTAGTTTTGACGATATGTTCCTTTAAATAATTAGAAATAGCCTATCAGTGTTCTTTATTGTTGAGATGAGTGAGGATGTGATTCAGAACTGACATGTGATACAACCTGCACATCCTGCTAACTACCTGAGACAATTACATCCACATGGCTTTCACTGTCATATCTACGCCTGAATGCTTTTAGTGAGACTTTCCAAACATGAAATCATTTCTAATCTAGAACATAGTCTGATTTATAGATACTGAGGCTTGGAGCACTCATGGTATGAACCAAGGATGTGTCAATCAATATGCATAACATTTCTATCAGGAAGTCTTTGAAACTATGATTAATGAATGGAGAGGAGACTAGGACAGTTTGAACACTGACTAAATGAGTTTCAAAATCCTTCACGAAAAGTCTAGTACCCTAAAAAGACATGCACGACTGACTGCATCCAAATATCACAATATCTTTTGACCAAAAAACTCATTTGCAATGACACTTTATGGTT